TGAACACAGCCCCCCCCCCTGTCACGTTGGAAAGAAATTAAATATTTAAACAAGTGAGATATTTTGAGTCCGATCACAGGTTTCTCGCGACTCAAGGCGCATGCTCGAAGATTCGGCGTCGTGGTGCCGGACTGTACTGCCTGCATCTTCAAGGTACTTATTCTTCTGCCCTGAAGACGGACTCAGCAGGTTCCTTCCGGAAGGTTGGTAACAGTCTGCTATAATATCAGATGTCGCATTCCAGCGGACTGTAATGCGATCATCATAGGCCCTGCCGTGATATTCTTAAATGTAACTTCACCATCATCGTGGGCAAAATAGTAATTTTTTAGCCGAAGACTTCCTTAGAAGACCTGCCAGATTGCATCCGGTTTTCGTTTCTTTCGATTTCGCAACAATAGGTTTTTTTCTTTTTAACAGAGCGAGGACGTCAGCCTTGGGTCCAGCCCCCAACCTGCGGGATCAGGTCCCTGTATTTATGTCACCCAATGACAGGGTGGCCCAGTTATACCCCCAGGCACCGGATTCGTTTTCTACAACTCTCAGGGCTACAGTGTAGGTATTCTAACCCGCCTCCACACGGGGCTAAATCTCACAATTTAGAAAATACGAGTACATGGAAGTTCCTTGATGCAGCCCATTTCTTGAATCGTACGTGAGCTCATCTCGGGCGTGGCTGCATGGAGACTGAAGTTTCATTACCGTCTGTACCAAAGCACGAAATGTAAGCTACAATATTTATATTGTCTTCTCATCTGCACGTAGGTTTTTCCCCTGTGGTGTCTTCTCTCGAGTTTTGCAGGCAAAGGTTTTTGTAAACCCAGTTCCTCAGTGGAGCCAGTATAGCGACAGACTACGCGCTGGATGACCAGAGTTCGATTGCCGTTAGGAGTAGGATTTTCCTCTTCTCCACACCGTCCAGACCGGCTGTGGTGTCCGTCTAACCTTTTAGCCAGTGGGTACCGGGGCCGATTTCTCTGGGGGTAAGCTGATCACTCACGTCCATCTGGTGCCGAGGTCAGCTCCCCAACATGTCTTCATACAAGGAAAACTTTACCTTACTATGCGCCCCAGAATAGTGCAGTCGGTATGGCTTCTGGCTACAGTCTGGACGACCGAGGGATCGGAGTTCGAGTTGCGATACGGTCAAGAATTGTTTCTCTATCTTCAGGTCGTCCAGACCGGTTCTGGAGCTCACCCAGCCTCCTATCCAATGGGTACCAGGGGTAAAGCGGCCGGGGCGTGAAGCTAACGACTCAACTCAAGCTGTGGGTCTATACATCCACTCCCCCTATGCCTTCATGGCATAGTGCTTAAGCACAGGGACAACTTTACGTTACCTATGCGCCCCAGTGCGTTGTCCATGCTGTGATCTGTAAGTAACGAGCAGAGATTCTGAAGCTTGTCTCGTTGTCCCTGCTACTTGCATTTCGTATTCAGATACCGTGCGGGGTTTGGGTGTAGCCGCTTCGCTGTCTTGCCATCTTAGGTTGTGAGAATGTAACTAGCGTAGGAAGATGCACCGCGGCTTCTCTGAAGAGCTCTGTCTTCTGGGATATAGCGACGTTTCCACTTTCAGCCCGAAGAATAAGCCAAACACGAAACCTCGGTGAAGCAGGCAGCAAGCTTATGTCCTAGGACTGTCCATAAACTCAGATCGTCTGGGCGCTGTTCACACCAAGTGAATACAGCAGAGGCATGCTGAGGAGTGTGGTGGGGGCTGGGGGGATGAACCCGACAAACTTCGCAGTACTAAGGACAAATGAAGCTATGCACGCAGGCAATTTTTAATTTCTAAATTGATAGCACACACAGCTTCAAAGAACAGAGCTTCATTACCATAACTAACTCACTTCATGGCGCTGAGCCCTTCTTGAGGAGCCGCCAGTTACGCAGCTACTCAGTAACTTCCCAGCGTTTTATGGAACCCGAAGGTTCAGTACTGTGTTCACAAGAGCCCTCCACCGGTCCCTATCCTGAGCCAGATCGATCCAGTCCATACTATCCCATTCTGTGTCTCTAAGGTCAATTTTAATATTGTCCACCCACCTACACCTTGGCCTTTCCAATGCTATTTCCCCTTCCGGACTTCCCACCGATATCCTATATGCATTCCTCTTCTCCACTATTCATGCTACATACCATGCCCATCTCATCCTAATTGATCCTTCTCAGTATACGTGGCGAAGAGTACAAGTTATGAGAGCTTCACTGCCATAATTAGCTGTATCAGAGAAATGGTTAAGGTAGGTGGCATGTACATGGGACGCAACATCGTAGTTCCCTAGTGCCATTAAGGTAATTCTGCGACAGGTTCGTTATGTCAGAAGAAGTATATTTCAGTGCTAATGTCAGGCACTTGTAAGCAGTAGAGCTTTCACGTTATCGCATTAGAAGTTCTGCACTGTAACTGAAGCACACAGAATTGGGTAAAGTTATTCAGACTTTCGTCTGAAATGTGAGACATCGTCTCACGTCGGTACCTCTCAATCCTGAATCAATGTAACCATCTCCTGGGGTCCAATTGAGAGCCTTTCATATTTTAGCCTGCTTTCGGTATTTTAAAAAATTAAAAGTAGGCTTATGAGGTCACCATGCTGCCTGTGTGGGGCGTGAAGCTGACCACTCACCCGAACTAGTCCCGAGGTCAAGAAAATGTGGATCTGTGCTCTAACTCCCCCATACGCCTTCATGGCGTAGTCCTTAATTAGTTAAGCGCAGGGCAACTATACCTTTTTTTATTTTACATGAAGACGAATGGGGGAGTGGATTTATAGATACAGAGATTTTGGGTTTTCGGACTTTATCCACCGTTCTGGTTTTAAGATAACTAGGGTCCAGTGATTGAGGCCGGCTCTTTCTAAGGGACCCAACAGAATAGGTGATTTCCCTCACCTGAGAACGGAAACAGATCCAGTTTCCAAAACGTCGTGTTTTTCTTAGTTATCTTAAAAACCAGGACGATGGATAAAGTCCGAAAACCCAATATCTCTGTGTGTTATGCACCATCGTCAGAATCGTATAGTAACTACTTGGATTTATAGACCCACGTTTTCTTGATTTCGGCCTTTTTTGGAGGTGAGCGTTCAGCTTCACACTCCAGCCGCTTAACCCCCAGGGAAGAGTTCCCGGTACCCATGGCGTAGGAGGCTGAATGGGCCCCAAGGACCGGTCTGTGTAGAAGTAAGACATTTTAAAATTTCTTGAGACTCCGTCCCTCGAGGATTGGAATATTAAACGGGCGTGTATTGGTAAAATTTACCGTATTCAATACAGCGGTGCAGACACGTGAAAACAAAGCGAACTTATTGTCACTTACTGAATTTATAAAAATTTCTCGAAATGAGATCCTCCATGTTCCGTACACAACCCACAACGTTGTGATACCTACCAACTGACTGGCAGGTTTGAATCAGAATATTCCCGTTAATACGAGGGAGTGGTTTAGGCTAAGTGACTTTCGGGACACTGTGTATACACGCATATATGTTCCAGGCTGTTTTAAAGACGTATAAGAAATAAAGAGTATTGGTCGGATCTGTTTTGTAACAGCGAATTCCATCTTGGTGTGCTGAAACAATGCCCCGTTATTTTCTTGTGTGTTAAGGAGATGTCCCCCCCCCTGAAGCCAGTCCGTCAGGCTGCTTGTCTGCAGTGGTCTAGAAGCATCGCAGAATGAAGTTACTTGGGCTTCTCCTATTTATATTTGCCATTTTGAAACATTTTGGGTAAACACGCCAAGCAGGTTGATAATAGTGGCAACGGTCTAGACTTGCATTCGGATGGTGCTTGGTTCAAATCTCGGCTTCGATACAGGTTATCATGGACAGATATTTCGATGTATATCTGAGTTTTTCCAGGCCAATGGGGGCAAAGTACCTCAATAAGGCCTCGAGTACTTCCGTCCGAATCATTTTTAATTCATCCTTCGACTGTCAGTCTGCCATTGGACGCTGTATATCGAAGTGTCTTAATGAAACCACTGAGAGGATAATGATCATGTCGTGGAATGTGTAAAATCAAGTTAATGGTATTCAGGTTGCACCATTCGCATCAGTACAAGGATATCTGATATCTGCAGCCCACACTCTCTGACGAAGGTAAACCTGTAGAATTGAAACGGCCTTGGTTCTTCCCCACGTGGGTGAATCTAATGGGATTCGATTGATATCGATTCGAGTAATCAACTCGTACAGTGATACGTTAAGAGTACCTTGTCTGCTGACTGGTCGCGCGGATCGGAATTTCGTACGTCATAAAGACGGCAGAGTGCCCTGATTTCCAGTTGCCGGATCATGAAGGTAATATGGGGCCCCTCTATTTGGAGAGCAGTCGAAAATATAAAAGTTCGTAGGCCGCGGGTTGAAGTCAGGTGAGCGGTGAGGTTGCCGGCTCTCGAGGCATTTAACCGTCTACTTTCTGTTCTCTGATCTTTGTCAGCAGTTTTTAAAATTTGACGCAGATGTTTTCCCCTAGGTAAAAAATACACTGATTCTTTGATAGATTCGAATTTCTAATTAGGCCTAATTACTGGAAGTGTAAATTCTTCCCTTTAGGCCTTTATGGGGATAGTGGATGGGCACGCGGCAGCGTAGTTGGATTTTTTTTTTCAGTTCTAATCTTTCCAGCCGCACCATGACCCTGGGGGTCGGCCCAGCCTTTTAACAGAAATGGGTACTAGGAATCTTCCTGGGGGTAATGGGCGGCGGGCGTGTAAGGCTGTCAACCTTACCGCCATCTGTGAGCCGATTGTCTACAGAAATTATGGGAGTCTCGACGTCTCACAACCCTATGAGCCTTCACGGCCTGTTACAGGGGTAGCTTTACCTTAACTTGAGGGATAGTGGATTCGAATCAGAAGTTCTGAAGAACCATTAAAGTGTGGAAAAATTTGCATAAAGTTTATCAATTTTGGATCATTGAAATGTTAACGTGAGATGACGGATAGGCCAACATGAAATTACAGCGAACGCTGTATAATTGTATGTACTTGTTGACAGGAGGAGATTGGTGAGGTGTTCGACAAGTGGCAGAATTTGAGGAAACCATCCGCTTCCATACCGATCCCTGCCAACAAGAAGAGCGCGCCTCTGCCTCCTCCGCGGCGTCGCAAGAACCACGATCTGCCAGACTGGTCGGAGGGTTTTCTGGCCGAGTTCAACGACCTCATCGCACAAGAACTGAGCCAGTTGGAGGCGAGCCATGCGGTGACAGCTGGAAACATGCGCCTGAGGATAACCAGGTCGCGCTCCTGGGAGAACAGTGATACGGACATATCTGGGACGCCACCCCCTTCTCCGGTGGCGTCGGACTTGTCCTCCGGTTGCAGTCCCAGCCTTCACCACCGCGCCCTGAGGCTTACCAGAGTTCTCCGTCGGCAGCGGCCGCCCCTACTGCCGGGTCAGACTCCCCCCGGCGACGCGATTCTCATGAAGGTGTCCTCCTTGCCAGACGCCGACGTCAGGTACGTGACTGCGTCAGACAGCGATCTGGTGACCCGCAGGAAGAAGGATGGACCGCCTTCAGCGTTTCCTCGCTGTGACTCCACCGGCGCCTTGACTTGGCACGAACAAATGGTCCGACAGAACAACAGCGTCTCACAGATCGGCACATTCCCTGCAGAAGACGTCGTGGTGAGTAGTCGAACTGAAACTTTATCTTGTATGGCCTAACAGACGAATGCGGTCCAGGGGCGTTCTTTTTTCCGAGTGTTAGCATCTCGAGTCAACCCCAGGGCCGTAGTGCGGCTGGAAGGATTAGGTTAGTTGAAAAAATCCACCTCATCGCAACTCGAATCCGTGACCTTCCGTCTTGTAGCATAATGCTCAACCAACTATGCTGCCGCGTGCCCCGAGTCAAGAATGAGGAGTACAAAGGAGTACAACATAGTTAACCTGCGAAAAGAAGACTGGATGTGTGTTGTAGTTACAGTGAGACTGTTAGAAATCTGTTGCCATGATACGACTAGTGAAGACAGTAATTTGTGGCGTGGGTAGATTAGCGATAAAGCTATAATTGAGTGCGATTAAGATATATTGTAAAAGTAGGAGTTAATAAACCCATTCACACAATCCAGAACCCGTTACTGTTGGTCACGGAACCCCGGACACGTGACAGTATTGACCATAATCGGTACTGCTTACCTTGTGTTGTTAAGGAGATCAAATTAAGAAGGGCGGCCCGAAGGGGTATGCTTAAAGCATGGGGAAATAGATGAATACAAAATTTTGATTAGGCAATATATTGTATTTCAGCATCCTGTTGCATTGGGGTATCATTTGTAGTCTTGCTTTCCATCTGCAATGCAGCAATTTAAAATTTAAACGTCACTAAATCACATTTAATTCACTAAAATGTTCGTTAAATGTTTAAAACGTCATTAATGTACATTTATTTTTAATGACAGGTTAAAGACTTAACGAGCATTTTAGTGAATTAAATGCGATTTAGTGCTGTGTAAAATTTAAGTTGTTTCATTATAGACGGAAAACAAGACTGCAAATTGAGTAGGGGGGTGCGAGTGTAGAAACACAGCACCTGATTGGGTTCTGAATTAGGAAAAGAGTTCCGAAGGAGTTTACTTCCAAACAGTTGTCTATGCCCTGGTCTGTGTTGTGCAGCAGACGCTGCTGACGACCATCAAGCCCGATGCCGACGCCGCCGTGGACGCCGGCACTCAGACCTCCCCCCCGCTGTCCCGCAGCTCGAGCTTCACCTGGGTCTCGACCTCGTCGCTGCTGCTCCACACAGATGACGAAGACGACGACGAAACGTCCACTACTGCCTCCTCCTCGTCGTCATGCTCACCGCGGCAGAGCAGCTCCCGGGACTCGCTCTCAGACTCCCCTATGGGCTCCGTGGAACGCGACGAGCCGGAGTCTGGCATCGGAACGTCTTCCCCACCTCGTTCCAACAAGTGCACAGGTAGGAGAGGCTTGTTGACGCCTGCGTACAGTCTGAGGATGTTACCTCAGTGTTTGCTGATAATACAATTAAAACATTATTAGTTTTTTTTCCCCAAACTTGTCTGTATTTCTTGGTTAGTTTTTAGTACGTCAATTCTTTATACTTATCAGCCACAATTCTTTGGGTCGGGTTGAGACTTTGTCCACTTGGTACGTCGGACACGCCTGTTGCACCAACCCCGGATGATAAGTGAGTATGGAGCATCCGGTGGAATGAGAATTGGCAGGGGAATTTAGCGACCACAAGGAGCAGAGCTAGGTCAGTCGTTACAGCGACGTTTCTCTGGCCCTGGGGTCCACCCAGAGTGGGTACCAGGGGCTGTATCCCCCTGTGCGTGATGCTGACAATGGAACGGTTAGCGTGTACTGTCTGTGTATATATCATCATGTAGCCCCCAGATGTAAGGAAGCGTTGATAACCCCGGACTATGACAAGTGTGTGTGTGTCAACAGCCCCCGGAGGCGGCTCCAACAAAGTACGGCGCAAAGAGACATGGGAGCGGCTTAGGAGGCGGGGGTCCACAGGTCGACCATCGTGTGGGAACTGTGAAGACGTGTGGGTTCGCCGTGAAAGTGTGGAGACACAGACTCGAGAGGACTGCAGTTCGCTTCCCCGTGCCGTCAGGCCCCGTCGTCTACCGATCAAGCCCCAACACCTGACGTCCAGTCCCAGTCCAAGTGAGGACCGTGACTCACCGTCTAGCGCCTCCCTGACGCTGACCACCGCGCCCCTGTCGGCCGAGCTGGGTAACAAGTCATCCTCAGCGCCTCTCCTGGTCAAGAAGACGGTGTCTCCCGGTGCAGGTGGTGGAAAGCCAGAGGACAACGCCAAAAAGAGGGTAACCACCTTGCCTTGTTCTGGTTTGTAATTGCATAATAACACTATATCAGCTACTGAGATTGGTTGATGGATTGGTGATGGTGATCTGAATGGATGAATGAATATACTCGTCAATACTGGACGCTCGGGTAACTGAGTGGCAAAAATGAATTAATGCATGAATAATTTAATTTTTGAGTGAATTAGAATGAACGAATGAATGGCGACCGACTGCGCATGAAATTTGAGGTTCTCGTGGCAGTGAATATCAAGGTTTTAAGTCCTTCTGGGAAATGATACCGTATAGTTTGGTAGATGGGTACCAGTTCGAATTTGTGGACGTTTCGTTAGGTAGCCTACCCGTAGAGATTCTGTGTACGAGATCTGATATTCTCATGGGAGTGGAGATCAGTGTACCAAACTACACGACGTCATAGTTCTGAAGAACGTAACCGTCAGCTGTGGAGAGCGTTAGCTTACTAATATTGTGGAAGCAAGTGCCATTGGAGGTAATGTCTCGCTATCCAAATAATATTATGTAAGATGGAGTATTGTGCTCTGCGGCCATAAACAAGCCCTTCTTATCTGAGAAGTGTGGTCGTAAATTCTGTCTGTAAGGCATCCCATGATCTCTAGCGTTAATGGAGATGAATCAGCCAAGGTGCGCAATATAATTCTGGAAACGGAAGCCAGTGTCAGTAGTGGTGTCAGCTCCTTACAGAATTTAATAACTTTTCTCATAGGCCTGATTTATTGTTATGCTTCACCATACCATAGAACATATACCATGAGACTGCTGTGTCTTTATGGATAATTAGTTTCGGTCTCAAGGATCAAGTTATCTAGTGTCTTTTATTCTGTTATGTTGGCAACATTCTATTCAGTAAGCACATTAAGAAGGGCCGCGCCATAGCTCAAGCGGTTAGTCGCTGGCTTCCCACCGCGGCGACCCGGGTTCGATCCCGGGTCTGGTCAAGTGGGATTTGTGGTGGACAAAGTGGCGGTGGGGCAGGTTTTCTCCCAGTACTTCGGTTTCCCCTGCCAATCTTCATTCCACCAATTGCTCCACAATCACCCTCACCTATCATCTGGGGCTGGTACAATAGGCCAGAAATGGCCGCAGTACAAGGGACTTAGTCCCACCCCACTAGCAATAAAAGAAAAGCACATTAAGAAAGATTCACATGCAGTGAATTTTGTAGCAGACAGTGAATGTCCCTAACTGTATGCTGATACCGGACGGTTGTCATAGTGGTAGTGCTGTAGACTCTTATTTTGGAGGTGAGAGGTTCGAATTCCGGCAGCTGGCCAACAAATCCACCCCTTGCATGCAAACTGAAAAAAAAAAACTATCACGGCCTGCATTTCGACTTTGTCCTTCGCCAGTTTAATTCACCTCGCAGTTCTATATATTCACACCCTATTTCTTTAAGATGCATGTTAATGTTATCATGTGCCGTCTGCGCTCAGGTCTTCAAATTGCCCTTTTTATTTTGTGGTTACCGTCTAAATTTATAGGAGAATATGCATTTGTAAGGTCTGAGGTCCTAACGGGGATGTATGTCAAGATCACTGTCTTCAGGAGCGTAGATATTTATCAGAGTAAAACATCTGCAAATATCTACCAGCGTTGTAACGCAGAAGAAGGTGATTATGCATACATTCCTCTTCTCCATGTTATATGAACACGTAAAGGTAAAAGGTAGCCGGGCACGGTAGCCGAGTGGTCTGAGGCATGCACTGTCTTCGCTCGCTCGGAAGCCGGGATCTTGGGTTCGAATCCCACTGAGGGCATGGATGTTTGTGTGCGTTTTTCTGTGTTTGTGTACACGTAGAGGCCTTGCGACGAGCTGATCACCCGCCCAAGGAGTCCTACCGTATGTGTAAGATCTAGAAAAACCGAAGTGAACGGAGTTCATGGAGGTAGGCCTAGGCCCACTGGGGCTGTAGTGCCAAGGGGGGGGGAAAGGTAAAAGGTGAATCTGGGCCTCTGCTTCATTAATTAAGCGTCACTCCATGAAGACGTATGAGAGAGTGGAGGTATAGATCCGCGTATTCTTAATCTCGGTACTAGATGATGGCGAGGGAGAAGCCTTACGCTTCGGCTGATTAACCCCCTTATACCCAGTGGATATTAGGCTGGGTGGGTCTGAGATTCAGTCTCGACGCTCTGGAGACAAGAAGCTCTTACCCCTGTCGGGGTCGAACCGCGACTATCAGGTCCGTGAACCGTCGCTGTACCGACTGGGCTATCCCGGCTCCTGACACCAATGCGGTAGCTCCAGAAATAACCTAGAGAATATAGAGGCAGGAGAGTGGGTTGTTACGTGTTGCTAAATGCATCCCAGAAGTATAGCATCTCCCTTGAGGCTGTCTCGCTGCTAGAATCGAGTTACACTAATACGTGAACTGTAGGCGTGTGAGCAGAGGGGGCTTTGTAAAGTGCTGGATTGTGATTCTTCTGCGTCGGATTTGAGGTCCTGCCACCATGAAACTCTTAGACAGCGCAGTCGTTTCGGAGCAACATACCGCCTCAATTTTCAGGTTCGAAAAATAACTAAGAAACCAGCTTGCCGCCCACTTCTCTTGGTATCTTACTTATCCTGCCCTGCAACCATGAAAATGGGGCTCTGTGTTTCTCCGAAACGTCGAGCTGTCTGAACTACACGGCTCTATATAACCCAGAGGGCCCTTACTCTTCACAGACTGTGTTCCAGAATGTGAGGGTAAAGGCGAACGAACTGTGAATCTCTTCACTCAACTCCCTCCACCTTTGCTGTGTCTAAAACCTCTTTCGGGCCCGTAATCGTCAGATAATGATAACGGTCGTTACGTCATCACTGATTTTGGTTTCAACTTATGATTACGCCCAAAATCACCACACCGGAGATCTCGTTCAAGACACAGGGCTTCTCTTCTGGTAAATTGCCTTCTCAGGGTAGATGCTCCAGATGAAGCATAATGCGGTGCTACACAAAGCATAGAGCTTTATTGCCGCACCCCCATGGTGCATAGACACAGGGGACACTTTTTGGGAAAGATGTTTGAGCTTCTGATATTTGCATAAGAATGGCCAGCCCGATATCGCCATGCAGATGCAAATTGCCGAACCATATATGGCGCACAGTCAAACCGGATTTCTGACTCGCCACAAAGAAAAAAAATATTCAGAATGCGAACGTAAGATGTTGGTCAGTTCTCAGCTCAACTGACCCAATTTCATAAATCATGCAGTCCCACATTGAGTGCCTTCTCAAGATGGCGCCCACAGCGCGCCACGCACCTGGGCCGGCCAGGTGTGATCCCTCTGCAAGCTGATTCTTGATGTCCACGTAGCCCCGAACAGTTTCACAGCAGCAGTTTTGCTTTTTTTTGGGGGGGGGGGGTGAGACTGAGTCCGCTTGGTACTTCGGCCACTAATTGGCCTATTGCATCAACCCCGGATGATAGATGAGTATGGAACATTTGGCGAAATGAGAACTGGCAGGTAAAAGGTGCAGTTGTCCCTGTGCTTAACTAAATAAGCACTACGCCATGAAAGCGTATGGAGGAGCGGATGTATAGATCCACATGTTCTTAACCTGGACACTAGTTTGAGGTGAGTCGTCAGGTTCATGCCCAGGCGGCTTTACCCCCGGGGATAGAGTCATTGGATAGGACGCTGGGTGGGTCCCAGAGACGTTCCTTGGAGAAGAGAAAATTCTTGACCTTACCGGGACTCGAACTCCGATCCCTCGGTCGTGCAGCCCGTAGGAAGTCGCTATCCCGGCTCCTGAAGTGAAGATGAGCTGTATGAAAGGCTGTTGCGTGTTGTTCTGACCATACGCATGCTGGAAATCACTGTAATTGATACTAGTTTCGACTAGACCCTCAGCATTGCACCAGTGAACGGCATGGAATGTAATGCTTGGGTTAGGGTGACAGTGTCCACCTTTGCCGAACGAAGTTCATAACCTACCCTTAGATAGCATTACAACTGCATATTGTTATACTGTGAAGTTTAGTATGCCCGTCTCCAACCTGAGATTATAACATTATTTATTTTTTCCGTAGGTCCTGACGCAGCCACGTTCTCAGTCTGAGAGACATCTAGCAGGTAAGTGCGGAACTAATGCCAAACAGTAGAGCGAAGTGTGCGTTGTATGGAACCTGAACAGAATTCCTTGAATTGTGCAAGAGATCACGTGACTGGTGTTTGTGGACCATATTCGCCCTTCGTCCTCTCGTGGATTAGACCCTCTTTTCTATTCTCAGTCAGAAGTAACTGTAAAACTTTCGTCTTTATGGTACCATGTGATCTGTATGTAAAGTAAGTAAAGGTATCCCAGTAACAGACCGTGGAGGCCCATAGGGTTGTGAGACGTTGAGGCTCCCACATTTTCTAGACAGTCGGCTCATAGTTGGCGGCGAGGCAGCCTTACGCGCCGGCCGCTCCTTACCCCCAGGAATATTCTTGGTACTCATTTCTGTTAGAGGCTGAGTCGACCCCGGGGCTATAGTGCGACTGGAAGGATTAGGTAATCATCATCATCATCATCATCAGTAATCTGTCAGACGACAGGTCCACAGTCTCTTCCAAAACAATTCCTCCACTTAATGCGATCTAGAGCTTTCTCCTTCAAATGACAGTATCCTCTTCTGTCCCCAAGGTCATCCAGCATCATCTTACGTCTTCTTCCTCGTCTTCTTGTTACTTCTATCCGCCCCTCTATCTTTCCTTCAATAACTTCTTTTAGAAGGCAGTTTCTGCGTAAAACATGACCAATCCAATTAGCCTTCCGTTTTCTTATTTCGTGTAGGATATTCCTCTGCTCACTGACTCTAATTAACATTTCTTCATTTCTCACATAATCGGTCCAACTGATCTTCTCCATCCTTCTCCAACACCACATTTCGAAACTTTCCAGATGTTTCTGATCTACTGCCCTAAGTGTCCATGTTTCAGCCCCATACAGAGCTATGCTCCAAATGTAGCATTTCACTAGTTTCTTCCTCAAATTTAAGTCCAATTTGCTGGCGAAAAGATTCTTCTTCTTGCTAAATGCAGCTTTTGCCATGGCAGTCCTGGATTTAATTTCACTAGTACACCTTCCATAAGCTACCCAAATATTTAAAACATTTCACATTCTCCAGTTGTTTTTGGTCTATCTTTATTGTGACTGGGGTTGGTTGTCTCGAAATTTTCATTACTTTTGTTTTTTCCACATTCATTTCCATGCCGTATCACCTTCCAATTTCAATTAGTCTACCAATCGTGCCCTGTAGCACAGTTTCTTCCTTAGCCATTAACACAAGGTCATCTGCATATTTCACAGATTAGGTAAATTGAAAAAAAAAATCCACCTCATCGAGATTCGATCCCGCGACCTTCCGGACTGTAGGATAGTGCCTCAACCAACTACACTACCCCATACGAAAAAAAAACTTTAACTCTCCAGAACTCTAAATAATGCTACGATTGCATTGATCTGTTATTGAATTTAGTCTTATGACTAACTGTATTAAACGTTCAATGGCAACATCTGCTGGCCCTCGCCAACACAGTCACTCATGGTTCCGAGACTCGGGAGACGCATTGCCGTGTTTTACTCTCCCACGGCTCCTGGATTCGTCCAGCTCTGTCTCGAGACCCGGTCAGAGTCAGAGTCAGAGTTACTTTGCGACTGGGGGTTTACCGCCAATCAGTTCGTCTTGGCGTCAGCCTCTTGTACCTCACGACCAGAACCTTTCCCTTCACTACACTACACTACACGGGCCGCACAGGGAACATCGCGTGCCGCGGGAACGTGTCTACTGAGCTGTTGCCTAACAACGGCCTTCTCTTCTTGCTCTGCTATTCCGGCTTGTTAGTGTGGTGGAGGCGTACAGACACAAGACAGGAAGGTGATCTTACAAGCCTGCTTTTATTTCTGTTTCAAAATGAGGAAAATAGGCTAAAAAGAAGAGAGAGTGCAGGAGGAGGGAGAAGTTTTTGTCTCTACCGTAAAATTTGTCAGTACCCTTCGTCGTCTTCAGCCAGTAAAACTACTGCGCGTGTGTGAAGAATACGCAGTTAGCTGTCGTAGTTAATTGCCTGATTTTATTTATATATAGTGAAAGATGTGTTGTATTGTTTATTACAGTTTAAGGTGGGGACAGGACCTGCTCAGAGTTACGTGCAGGAAACACTTGTCACAGGCCGCGCATGCAGGATATATAAAGTGCGAAGTTCACTGTCGTCAAGAAGGAATCCAGCCTCCCGCTCGCCGTGTAAACTTCCCCAATAGTAGAAATGTCTTACGCTATTTATATGTGGATGTGTAACTCGGTAGGAAGATCTTGCTGTAACATTTCATATCGACGCCATTTTTAAACCCTTATCTTCAAAGGGCGGTATAGCGACTACGATACTCAAAGGGAAGTTTGGGGGAGTAGCTAATACAAAGCAGGATTTGAGGTTCTCACGGCGGTGATTATGAAGAGGCATGTCTTCTGGAATGTAACTCCGTGTAGACCTTTGGAAGTCAACAGATATTCCGGAGGAATATGTCGCCTCCTTCTTCAGGATCGAAGAATAAGCCGAACAAAAAAAACGGGGTGAAAGCAGGAGGCAAGGATAACTCTTACTTTCTTCGTGCTTTCACTTTGGGTTCTCGCTCGGCTTATTCTTCGACCCTGAAGATGGAGGCGAAATGTTGCTCCGAAAAGTAAGATTGAATTTCAGCGGACTACACAGCGGTATGTTCCAGAAGATATGACTCTTATTTTTGAAACTTCGGGGGGGGGGGGTTGCGGCCAAGAAGAACGCATGAAAGCCCTAATTCAGCCCTTCAGTTGTAATGTTTGCTCGCCCCTTGTCTTGATGTTTAACGCTGTGTGCTTGTATTCGGGATGTGCTGTGTTGAAATTTCGGAGGAGACGCTGGCCATTTTAAGTAGGGCTTCTCGGAGTTTCCCTCGGCCATGCTAGGAAAATTCCGGGGCAGTGTCTTGAGCAGGCCACTACAGCTTTTCGCAAATCCTTCCCAATTCATCATTCTTTCATTGTACCGTCTACCGCTATACAGAGTGTCTCAGGATGGAAGGTAAATATTCTGGGAGGTCATAGTATCGGCCATTCTAAGCAAAAAAGTGTATATGCACATGTGTCCTGTTCCGAACGGTTTCCGAGATAGAGCTATTTCACTGTACAGTTCCAAAACTGTTGATAAGAAAAAGATATTACGTACTGTTTCTAATTCATTCGTCAGTAATCTGTCAGACGACAGGTCCACAGTCTCTTCCAAAACAGTTCCTCCACTTGATGCGATCTAGAGCTTTCTCCTTCAAATGAGAATATCCTCTTCTGTCCCCAAGGTCATCCAGCATCTTCTTACGTCTTCTTCCTCGTCTTCTGGATCTCGCATACATGGTATCTCTGTTTTTGGAAAGAGACTATCCAGGAATCAATACCGGTATTTATTGTTCAAGTGACAAAGTTGGTACAGCTTACTTAGTATAATACATTTTCGAACATTCCCTTGTCAACATCAGTGCACTTCGCAACTCGTGTGAAGACATGGCGTGTTGCTCGTCAGTACAGTGTACAGTGCAGTAAAATAGCTGTATCTCGGAAACCGTTCGGAATAGGACACATGTACATGTACACTTTTTTGCTTAGAATGACCGATACTGTGACATCCCAGAATACTGACCTTTCCTCCTGGGACATCTTGTATAGTTTCGGTACAGGAAACATCGTTAAGAACCCACGGAAAGGGACTCAGCTTCATGGAGTTGGCTGTGTAGGCGTACTCGTGCGTTATTTAGTCGCTAGGTTCGTGGTGTGACGCGTTCGTTTCAGTATGTCCCATTTCACATGCCTTATATTGCGTCCTGATATATTGAAGTCCGCATTTCTCGAAATAGAAATGCGATCACAGAAACATTCACACAGAGCACTGAACATAATATTTATGTTCCCAATATTTGACGTGCAGACCGCGTTTTTACTTCCACTTTGCCTATACAAAGGAGGAACATTATTTAGCACAGTGCACCGCGCGTCACGAACGCGACTGAGGAGGTTAGTATAGAGGTAGCGGTTGCGACTTGTGTTAACGAGGTATTCAGTTCGATTCTCGGCTACACTTACTAGAGCTTTACTTCAATTTCTTTAGCCTCTCCAACCAAATAACGGTATAGTATCAGGTCAGTACAGCGACGGGCTGGACGACCGGATTTTGAACCCCAGCAGGGGCAAAGTCTTTATTTTCTCCACAGCGTTCATACCATCTCTGGGGCCTCTCCAGCCTTCTACCTAATGGGTACGATTTCCCATGTGGTAAAACGGCGAAGGCTAGAAGCTGACCACTCACCTCCACCTAGTGCCGAGGTCAAGAATGGTGGAGCTATACCTCCGCCCCCCCCATATGTCTTTATGGCGTGATGCTGAATTAAGCGCAGAGGCAACCGTGCCTTTTATAGTATCAGGTCACAGCTTTTTGCAAACCCTATTGTCCTTCATGAATCATAATTGCCTTTCAGTCTCACGTAACGCTACGTAATTTGTGCAGTTGAACTTTCTTGTGGCATTTGCGGATTATAAACCCGCCATCCATATTGATCTCTGGTGTGATGTGTTTCGTAGTTCCCAGATTTTTCAGTTGCAAAAACAGTACCGTGCAAGGAATTACTTGGCGTCTTAGAAGCATGGATAATTTCCTGTCTGTCAACAGTGATGGGATACTAATTACAGGGGAAGTTTCATGGCTGGGGTTGCTTAGATTAGGGGTGGCTTCTCCCCACAAAGTTTTGTGTTCATACCGCTACCGACAGCCGGAACTAACGACACTTATCGAGAACTGAGTTTGTTCACTGGCCGTTACCGGTGAGCAGGCTAGTTGAAGCGATAACTCACTTCAGTCGCCACGTATGGAGGTTGGTTTCAATTCCGGTATGGACCACCACGCGGTAGCCGGGATAGCGCAGTCGGTAAAGCGACTGGCTACATGCTGGACGTAGTTCGAGTTCTGGTAGGGTTAAGAATTGTCTCTTCACGTCGTCCAGACCGGCTCTGGGGCTCACGCAACCTCGTATCCAGCGGGTACCTGGGGCTCCTTTCCTGGAGGTAAAGAGA